ATGAAGAGTAGAAGCAACAGTACTCACATACTCCTTGTTCTAAGAGAAGGGACGTAAGCCACCATCACCCTAATCTCCTTCTGGAGACACAGCCCAGAGTAGCCCCGCAAGAGAAAATCCAGCTGTCAATGACTGGGATCTGCAAGGCCCAGTACTTTTGTGACTGGCTGAAAATAACAGTAACTGTGTGCTGGAAAAGAACAGCTGCTAAGAGCTGACCAACTTCTGGAGCTTACATGAGGCTTGATGATAGCAGTGTCCTCAGCAGCCAGTATTCTGGGTGCTCAAGTGACATGGCGGCCCAGGAAGGCTCTGCAGACTCATCCTGAGATTAAACTTAAAGGCAAGGTAAAAGGACAAAGAGAAATTAACTGTTGAAGGATCAAGCTATCCACAGCATCAAATGTCCCAGCACACAATAGATACTAACCATGAGGATCAATTTCTTTCAAATATGATAGGAAATGAGAATCCTTAGATACAAGAATACCAAGAAATTCAAACTGCTAAAAATCGATAACCAGGAGAAAAATCCTGCAGTCATCAGAGGGACAGGAGTCACAAGAAAAATCACTGTCACAAGACAGAAGAAAAAGCAAAGATGCCTTTCAAGTGCTAAACAAAGCTCATGCCTAAAACTCTATATCCAGAAAAACTATAAAGATGAAATAAAGACATTTTCAGAGGAAAAAAAAAACTTACAAGACCTAACACTGTACCATAAGAAGTGTTAAGACAAGCTCTCTTGATCAAGGAAGAGGATACCAGATAGCCCTGTATCCACGCAGAGGAAAAACATGCACTGGAAAAGGTTTATTAGTTTCTTTAAGAATTGACTGCTTAAAACAGAGTTGGCTAAATAGAGCTCATGAGCCAAGCCTGGCCTGTTTGTTTTTATACAGCATGAAAGCTAATAACACATTATTATTGTTTTTAAGTGATTAGGGGGCAAAAAAGGAATAGCACATAAAATTCAGATTTTATAATGAGATGACTAAATAAAGGTTTGCAGACAGTCTTACTCATTCACCCACACTCTGACTGAACTGAGTAGTTGTGACAAGGCTAGACCTCAAAGCCTGAAATATTTATCATCACCTGGCTCTTCACAGAAAAAGCCTGCCAGCCTCTGGTTTAAAGTAACAATCATGTGCGTTTGGTAGCTGCCAAAGGAAAGGTGGAGACAGGTAGTGATGGTTGAAGCACACAGGCAGTACTGGGTGCTGTTTTGCCAACAGTTCTGTATCTTGGTTGTGGAAGTACTTCCAGAGCTTAGCATGAACAGCATACCCACAAAACGATGCATGTAAAAAATGCTTTAAAAAAATGAATAAAGTCTGCATCTTAATGTTTCCCTATGAGTGTCAATTTCCTGATTTTTATATGGCAGCTCATCCAATGCCCTCTTCTGGCCTCCACAGGCACTGCATGCATGTGGCACACATACATAGATTCAGACACACACACACACACACACACACACACACACACACACACACACATATCTCTTTTTTAAAGGAAGACAAAACCAAGAATTTCAACTAGCACATTAAATATATATGGTCAACAGCACTCCAATTAAAAGAAAGAGGTATTAAGCCAGAATGAGTGGTGGTGTGCACCTGTCATCCTAGCACTAGGAAGGTCATGGTAGGTATCACAAATTCAAGGCCAAACTGGACTGCACTGTCTCAAAAGAATAAAAAACAAGAAAGAGGCGTTAATTTTTTTGTTAAAAGACAGATTGTCATATTGGATGTACTATTTGAAAAGAGAACTTTTAACAAATTTTTATTTATTATTAATATTATTGTGTGTATCCATATGTTGAGGGAGGGGGTGGCAAACAGCACACCACAGTGTGTATGTGGAGGTCAGAGAACTTTGTGGAGTCAGTTCTCTCCTTCCACCTTTACATGGGTTCCAGGGATTGAACTCAGGTTGCCAGGCTTGCACAACATGCACCTTTATCCACTGAGCCATCTTGTCAGCCCAAAAATGTACTTTAAATATAAAAAAATAACTTAAAACATAAAAAGGATAGAAAAGACATATGCAATCATTAACAGTTAGAAAGAAGAATGTTGATATATTAGTATCAGACAAAGCAAACTTCAGGATAAGGAGGATTCCAGAGTGTTAAAAGGGGAATGTCAGGGGTGGGGGGAATAACATAATTTTCATTTTACTACAATGGTTGATTCATTAAGAAACATAACGACCCTCAATGGATATGAACTAGAGAATAGAGCTTTAAAATCTTGGATGCACTGGGGTACCAGTTACCTGGTGAGGCCAGCTGGACCAACCAGCTCACCCTCATCCATGCCTTATCCCAGTTTCTGCTATAGTCCTTTAAAAAGCCCCCAGAATAGCATCTCAATGGTACCTGGAACCCCTCCTGCTATACAGGACCTCTCTCTCCCTCCCTTTCACCCTCCCTTTAATTCCTATAATAAACCTCTCTAGAACTAAAATAGAAAAAAAAAATTGATGCAAAGGCAACAGACCAAAATAAAAATACAAATCTACAACAACAGCTGGACATTTTAACAGCAGTCTCTCAGCAGCTCAGAAGGAACAGACAAGACTGAAGACAGAACACTATATTCAACAATTGGACTATCCCCATCTTTTGATGCACATGCAATAATAAACTGAGCTACACTCCGTCATCACTATGAACAAATCAGCAACAGCATTGACTTTTCATATCCTACCCATTGAAGCTTCATGTACAAAGTCAAAACACTGGGGGGGGGTTAAAGATCAATTATGAAGATACATTCATTTGAGCATTTCTTCCTATTTATATAGTTACCTACTACGATTATCAGTTTGTGTGTAAATAAAAATACATTTACAAAGTGTGAAATTTAAGTCAGCGAAATCTAAATGGTTTACTCTCATTCAATGAAATACAATTCCAAGTAAAAATTATTTTATATTGTAGAAATTTTTTCATAACATATCTTTTAAAAATGTATAACTATTCAAATTAAGAAAGAACATGGGTAGAAAGTCATATAAGAAAAAGAGCCAGGTGTGGCGGCACAGGCCTTTAATCCCAGCACTCAGGAGGCAGAGGCAGGCAGATCTCTGTGAGATCTAGGCCAGTGTGGTCTACATAGTTAGTTACAGGCCAGCTGGAATTCAAAAAGACGAGGGGGGGGGGATTTAAATAATATTTAGTGTTGAAGTTTATTATACAGGTTCTTATTTGTGTTTAACTCAGAGTGAACATCTGCCTAGAGCCATCTACTTTTGGTCATAAGAGTGTCTTCAGTGCATAGGGGGTGGTGGGGGAGGCAGGGCAGTATCAATTTATCTAACACTGAAATTTTAGAACCTACTACCCCCAAAAGAATGGTGACTTTTCAATGTGGTATTTGTATTGCCACCTTTAAATGATGTTAGTGTTTACCTTCTTGAATAAATAATAGCAATACTGATACCTGGATATAAAAGGGTTTAGGCAAATAGATATAGACACCCTTTTGTGAACTATGGAGCCCTGGTTAACTTCATGGCTAGTGTAAAGTCCTCTCATTTTTACTGTTCTGGACATCTATGGTCTGCTATGTTCACAACAGAAAAAGTGTTGGGAAAAATATAAACTTTATTATAAAAACTCTAAACGAAATTTCAGTTTATATTTTAAAACACAAGGCAGCAATGTAGCCTAGTGTGATAACACATGCCTTTAGTCCCAGCACTTGGGAGGCAGTGACAGAAGCAGTCGATCTGTGAGATCAGGGCCAGCCTGGCCTACATAGAGTATGCCAGGCCAGCTGGGGTTACAGGGAGACCCTAGCTCAAAAAAAAAAAAAAAAAAAAAAAAAAAAAAACACCAAAATGTATTAGATTTTATAAAATTGTTTTATGAAAACCACATTTTGAGGGGTACATAAGTAGACTATAGCCAAGAAACATACCATACACTCCTCAGAAGCAGAGTTTTCAGATTTTAAAAAGCAAAAATCAGGCCTGGAGAGATAGCTCAGTGGTTAAGAGCACTGGCTGCTCTTGCAGAGGATCCAGGTTCAGTTCCCAGCACCCATCGCAGCTGACAACTGTCTGTAACTCTTCTGACCTCCTCAGACAGTGCATGACATAGTGTCTCCCTATTGGCTAGTTCCTCCAATGGGCGAGGCCTGACGCAGAGCCATCTATGAAGGGGCTGCTGGGAGCCATCTTGGGACAGAAGCCATGAGCCATGGGTAGTGCATGGTGTGGGGGACGCACAGCTAGTTGCTCAGCAGCTGAAGGGCAGAATGGACTGACTCTTGTGGACCTGGGGCTATTGCTGGCCCTGGAGGCATGAGCGAATGCTAGTGGTGACTATGGACGTGGCATGGTCTGATAAGGTGCCAGGCTAGGCACTGGGTGCTCATTCCTTTGTAAGTTAATAAATGCACATAAAATATATTATATGGTTTGCCTGATCGAGCAGGAGACGCAGAGGGAATTTGGGCAGCACATGGGTACACCTACCTACATGTAAGCAATACATTCATACACATAAAATTAAAAAAAAATTTTTTTTAAGGCAAAAATCCTTTTAAGACATAAAACATGTTATTTCATAGTAACAACACATTCCTCATTAATGACTTTGACAACTGTTTATTAATTAGCAAGAGATGTCTTATGGCATTAATCTTTTTCTTTTTTGTTTTCTTCGTCTTTTTGAGACAAGGCCTCCCTGTAGCTCCAGCTGTCCTGGAACTCACTATATAGACCAGGCTGGCCTTGTACTCACAGAGATCCGCCTGCCTCTGCCTCCCAAGTGCTGGGACTAAAAGTGTGCACCACCACCCTGGCTAGGCATTAATCTTTAATGCTTGCAGATGTGTGTGGCATTCTCAAGTACAAATTTTACAGACAGACAAAACCTGTTGTCTGCTTGTACTGAGAACAACTCTACTACATCTGGCAACAGTTTCTTACAATTTAACTCCAAACAGAACCACTGCTAAAAGAAACCAAGCAGCGCTCACCTTTCCAGCCTCCTAGTAAGAGTGAGTACACCCGTTGCCGGATTGGGCGGTAGATGAAGGCCTGGCTTGGCAGGGCTTGGTCCAGCTCATCCTCCAGGGTGTTGCTGCACTCAATCTCTCGACTGCTCATAATGTTGTACACTAGGTAGCTTTCTGCGCAGACATGATGTATCCTAGCAACCTGTTCAGAGATTCAAATACAATAGATTTTGCCTTGAAAAAAAAAAATCTTGTGACTTTCAAATACAGTCAACAGTACTTACCAGTTTTGCTAAGGTGCTTGAAGGAATAACTGCCATTCAAACACATGACATCAAGTGGCATTTGTGTTTTTTTCTTTTGGGCTAACAAGTTTGAAACTTTAATGTATTGTTCTTCTCCTCTGGCCTCCAATCTACCAGTTTTATCTTATTTACCTGTACAGTATTTCATTATTGTGTCTGTCTGAGGTCTCCCAATAAACATATAGTCACTGCTTTGCATTAGGGTTGTTATAAAAAGCTCCTAACTGAACCCCTCAGCTCCAGCTTCCCCTTACCAACCTGTCATTCACACTACAATCATGTTGTCTTCTTGGAAACAGGTTCACTTGCTTCTCTCTTTAAGACATTTGAATACTACTACAAACTTCATTATGACATACCTGGCCCCACTGCGAGGCCTCAAGCTCCTTCATGTCTTTGTATATCATTTTGCTCTCATGGAAACTGTCAAACTGCAATCTCACGGGACATCACTGTTTGTAGCACTTCTTCCCTTTCTTCCTCCCTTGTGCTCTTGGAGCACAAACCCCACCTGGAACATCTCTCCTACTACAGTTTCCAAACCTTCAATTTCACAACCCTCCTGGGTTCACCTCAAGTGACACATACCTTCTTTACAAACCTGTTCCTCCTTTTCCAATTGGACTAACCACCCACTGCTCATGGGGTTCAACTTTCTTTTTCCTATATTTTAATAGAATTTTTGTACATTTCATGTAATACATATTAACCATAACCCTCTCTCCTATCTGCATAGTCCCCACCACCACCAGACTTCATGTATTCTGTCATGTATGTTAAGGCCTACCAAGTCAAGTTTGTGTTCCCAGATGTCCCTCAGTGTGAATTCACCCACTGGAGCCTGGTCAGCCTGTCTAAAATCATTCCCTTAAAGACCAACTCTCCCTCACCCAGCAGTGACAAACACCAACAGTTCCTCATCTAAGGTTGGGGCCTCCTGACCATTTCCCCAGTTCTATGTTGGGTTTTTGTCTGACTGAGCTTGCATGGGTCTTGTACATGCTGTCACCAAGTTTATATGAGCAAGTTCCCAGAAACTCTTCCTTGGAAAGGAAAACTCTTTCCTTGTGGTCATCCATCAATCTTGCAATCTTTCCACCCCTCTTCTGCAATGATCCCTTAGTACTGGGTGGGTAAGGTTTAATAAAGGACCCTTATCCGGGGACATGTACTCTGCAGTCTCTTATTCTTTACACTTTGGCCAGTTGTGGCTTTCTGTATTGTGCTCTGTTGCATGAGGAAGCATCACCGGTGAGAGTTGAGAGATGCATTAATATCTTCTCTATCCCCTATTCCACTATGTTCCATGAGCCTTAGGTGGAGAGGTCATAGATCCTAGAGAAAACCCTACTGTATGTCACATCCCTAGACAAACGTAATTTCCTACTATACATTAAATATAGATCCTTATATTTACAGACAAGTATACCCTCCACCACTCATCAAAGAAGCTTCTTTTTGCAACAGATGGAGACTATTACAGAGTTCCACAACTGGCCAAACACAAAGAATAAGTGTCTGTGAGATTCCCAGCCCTAAGGTGCTCAACTTTTATTTCTCCTATCAAACTATTAATATGAACTTAAATAATCAGTTAAGATGATAGGATCTACAATGATCTATTTACAAGTTTTACTTCTGTAAAAAACAAATCTCAATGTAGGAATAAAGTCCCACATTAAATAACACAGAAAGTACTTACCACATATGACTGCTCCCTGTCAGTAAACGCCAAATGATTAAGGCCTATTCAACTGCCTGCTTTTTTTTTTTTTTTCGGTATTAAAAAAATAAAAAATCATGCATGTATTCCAAAAGCAGCCCCAAAAGATACAAGAAACAGTAGTTATTTAAACACACAGGAAAATTCCCACTACCACAAGGCTACTAAAAATCACCTATGCTGTCACATTTTTCAATAAACGTGTTTTTTTTTTTTTGCTGATTTTTTTCCCCCTTTAAATGTGTCTCTTAGATGTGATGATCAATTTTTCCACAAGGTTTGCCATAATGCTTTCTCAGAGCTTAGGGGTTTGCATTTTAATTCATCCAATGGCTGCTTGCAACTAAGACACTGAGCTGATCTTACAGCTTAGGTTCATCCGTTTCGAGCTGGCAGGATGTTACTCAAATCCCAGACCTTCTCTTTCTCTCTTCCTCAGTTTCTCTGTCTGGGCTTGAGGAAGGTCACTGTCAAAGCAATAGCTAACTTCCTCGCTTCCTCGCTTCTTCCCTCCCTCCCAATAGTCTTATGTATTGCAGGATGACCTTAAGCTTACTATATATAGCTATGTAGCCAAGGCTGGTCTTGAACTTATCCTTCCCCCTTCACCTCCGAAGTGCTGGAATTACAGGTGTGCACTACCACATCTGGTTTATGTAGTGCTAGGGATCAAACCCAGGATTTCATGCACACTGGGTAAGCATTTTACCAACTGTATTATCTCTTCAGTCTCCAAAGTTGCAGCTTCTATGGTTCCAGTGGAGCCTGTATCTGATCTATTTAGTAATTTTTAGAATCAAGACACAGGGCACAATGACTACTTCACTGCTAGAATTTCTTTAAACCAGCTTTCAGGTCGGTAAGGTTAAAAAAAGATTTTAAAAAACTAAGTCTTATCAGAGTTACAAAGTCCTGGCTTGATGCCCTAACCAGCTGAAAATGAGAAAACTCCATTACAGATGCTCAAGTTATAGATTTCATGGTGGTTTTAGGGCAAAAGTGTTGCTAGCTGATTTTCAATTCCCTCTTCCACTTGTTTCAAAGAAATTTGTATTTTTACAAATTTACCTAGAAAATAATAAGCTATACTTACTCTACAAAGAAATTTTTAATTTTGGCAACTCTATAGAACTTGAGATATAAAATTCAATTCTGGAGACACAGGGTTTTCAGTTAAGTTGTATACTTAGGATTCTTAATTCAGTCCTATCAATACCACCTAAGTGTTCTTTGTTTCTGCCCTTTATTTAACATAGTTTATCCTGTATTATGAAAACTATATAATCTGCTGCTCAATCTAACTGACTTCTAATACAGACAGGGAAGAAGTATGCACATGTGACTATGGTCATGCCTGCTCCTGCTCCACACTAAATGTTTCTACCAAAAAGATCTTTAGGGTTTCTACGTATGATTAAGTCACACAAATTGGATTCTAGCTTCCTATTAGATGGGTTTGCAAGACTGAAATGGGGGTTGGGGGGAGTAAGGGCAATGTAAGAAACTAAAATTGCATTTGAAGACATAATTAAGCTCAGTAAAAGTGAGCAATACACAATCTACCACATTGCACAGCACTTGCCTTGCCTACAAAGACATTTCAACTCCTTCCTCACTGCCTCTTTTCAGATGCCAGCAAGCAACCCACACCTTTGCTATTGCAGCTGGCCATAGTTACAAACTTTCCCAAACCCAAGTCCTTTTTCTTTTTTTTTTTTTGGTCTTTTGAAACAGGGTCTCCCTGCTGTAGCCACAGCTGGACTAGATTCACTATGGTTACCAGCTTAGCCTCGAACTCAAAGATCTGCCTGCCTCTACCTCCCAAGGGCTGGGATTAATGGTGTGTGCCACCACGCCCAATTTAAGTCCTATTTCTTTTCTCCCTCCTTTCCCCTCTCTTCCTCCTCTTCCTCCTCCTCCCTCCCTCTCTCCCTCCCCCTTTGTTTTAAGGTTTTTTTTAATTTTCAGTTTCACATGATCTACACTTTACATATTGACTACTTTCTGTTCCTACCTCCCTACCAACCCTGCTCATCCTCTACCTTCTCCACAAATCTTCATGTCTTTTTTGTTTTGTTCTGTGACTTACCAAGGTTATTCAAGACTCTGTTACCCTAGATTTGGAGCTAGCCTTTGGAGCCTGGTGGTCTCAGCAGAGACCAAGTCTTACTTCATCATTACAGCACTCACACTCTTGACCACTTTTCTCCTCTAGAATGCTTGCTCTCCTTCTTGTCTCAGTGCAGTATTTAAGTCTCCATCCTACATACTCTTCTACTGAAGGCTTCTAAGACACATAAAAGACAATGACTTCTAAATGTCTATTCCCTGCTGGGAATGGAACTTCAGACCCTATTTCACTGTGTGTACATGTCAAAGGCAATATAGTCCCTTACCTTGCAGTGGGACTTAGATAATCACCCTTCCTGCAAACAGTTGTCCTCCTCTTCCCTAAGTTACTGCAGTTACTGTTTTGGGTGCACAAAGGGGAACTCTACTGCAAAGGCAAAACCTATTTCCTATTAGTTTTACTTCTAAAATACAGTGCAAACCAGTCACGGAGGCCCATGCTTGCAAGTCCAGTGCTTGGGAGGCTCAGGGAAGAGGATCAAGAATTCTAGATCAGCCTAGGCTTCATAGTGAGACTCCCCACCTCAAAACAATCTAATTAAAACACACACACATACACACACACACACACACACACACACACACACACACACACACACACACACACACACACAAAAATAATGCAACTGCCTTTTCCCATTGCATTTTGAGGTATAACCAGTGTTTCAAAAAATAAAACATCCAATCCCATTACATCCTATTTAAAAAAATCAATACCGCCACATGGAGTACAGAGATCAAGGTATAAATCCCTTCAAAACAAATGTGGTACCCTGTGTGGTCTATCCTAAGCTGTCAGATCCAAATCCCTGCAGAACTGAGAGAGCTGCCTGAACTGTTGACTTGGTGGGGGGCAAGACCTTGAGTCCACAGAGGACAAGTATAGGACACAAATAGGAGATGAGACAAAGAGACAGGAAATGGAATGGGGAGAGATCAAGCTAGAAACAAGCAGAGTGGCTGCTCAGTCAGCAAGGCAGGCCGACACCACCTCCCTCTGAGCCGCCTCAGACTCACGCCGTACATCAAATATCACCTTAAATG